TCACTAGCATAAATTAGTTTTTTAAAATAGATAAATTGAATTGGCATGAGCATGGAAGTCCCTTAAACAAAGCTATTTCGGAGGACAATGTAGTTCCTTCTTTGACACCATTTTGACTGGAAGAGAATAGAAACATTTTTAGTTGCCCTAGTACTCCTCTCTGACATAATAACATCTTAGCTTCCTAATAAATGTTTCATCCTTATATAGTTTATTGTGTGAATAATTGAGTGAGCAGAAGTACTCCAATAGTCAGTTGCTATAATGAAGAGAATTATATTTATGAAAATGAGACATTTCAGCCAAATGAGAAGATAGCTTTTTTGGGTGTAACCATGCTCAAATCTTACGATTATATACGTAAAGGGCAGAGATTTTGCTTAATTTTCCCATCTTCTAAAGTAGCAGTCATAATGAAAGGACTCGGTTAATAAGAGAGTAATGCCTTTGATAAAGGCCTCTCAGAAGAAAGCATATGATGTACAAGCATAAGTAAAATATAGCGAGGGTAGGGTAAAGAGTTTTAGTTACACCAAAATATAATTGACTCATGATTTTGTACTGTAGCGTATAGTAAATGTATGTGTTATGAAGTATATATATATATATATAACTTTTGATCACTTTAGCTGCAGCCTAAATAATCCTCAATAAAAAATAAACTAGGCATTTTTACAATGGAATAAACATAGCAATACTTTACTCAAGTAGTTTAGGGGATGCTACTTATGTTTTTTCAGAACAGAACATTAAGCTCATATCCGCAGAATCAATTGCTCTGTTCTGAAAAAGCTTTTCAGTATTACATACTCTTCGATTTTGAGTCTTTGCTGCCACTTTACTATAATCTTTTACTTTTGTCGTAAAAAGCAGCTCTTTTTTTCGCCTTTCTCTGGGCAAGGGAAATTCTTTCCCATTTGTAATTGTTGTAGCAGCCTTACGACTGGTAAAAAGACGAATAAACCTGTCTCTTGCTGAAATTTTTCCTATTGATGCTGTTGTGTTCTCAGTAAATACAGAAATTGTTTGCTTTCCTGATTGCATTCCCTGGGACTCGCCAAAAGGCTTACCGTAGGAGCAGGATGCTCTCCTACTGCTAGGATTTGTAACAGTTTTGGTATCTCTACTTCTAGAACAAATAAGCATCTGCATGGTCTGTTCTCTAAAAGATTTGCTCGTGGAGAAATAAATAAAAAAGTTGCATGCGTAATGTGACATGCAAAGCGTATCGATGATCATTTTGCTGTTTACCAGTCGTTTGACAATCTGCCAATCTGCGTTCTCTTCGACGGCCTCCTCAGTTAGGCAATCTTCAGTAAATGGAGCACTCAATTGCAACATGTATGCAACACCAGGTGGCAGAGCGCAGAGAATAAGGTAGAATGAAAGAATTACGACCATTAGGGTGGCAGCAAGAAAGCTGGATGATTCTTTTACTCGATCAATCCCTTCTCCGTTTCCATGTGGGCCGTTCTGACTATGCAACCCCGTTGTCTTAGAACCTGTGTTTAGTCGCTTCATCTCTTTCAGCACCATTATGTTGAAAACCATCGCAGCCAAAGGCACAATAAGGCTAAAGATTGCCTCTTGGGCTGGAATGAACCAGGATCGAAAGTGTTTCATTTCAGCGTGAGGTTGACATTGGCCCTCAAATATGTTAAAAAATACTGCCTGAGCGATGGCTGGAACAGTTGCAAACCCTCCAAGTACCGTGACGGCCATAAGTGCTCGACGGCTTGTGCAGAGACGATGCCTTTCAAAGGGAAACCAGATGGCGATCCAACGCTCAAGCGTAAAGCCGAAAACAAGTAGAATAGAGTAAAATTGAACAAATGTGTTGAGAAAATGGTATAGCTTGCAGGTAGCAATATGTTGTACAACAGATGAGTATGCATGATAGAAAGTGAAGTAGTAGTCAAAGTGAAGGCATATAAATATTAGGTCACTGAGAGCAAGCGCAGCCAAATAAATTGCTGAGCTATATTTTTTACGTTGTCTGGGTGAAATCCATATGAAGAAGGCCAAAAAGTTACCAATCAAACCGATAACTAGCCAGATAGGGATTAGATAAACAGAGAAATAATAGCCTATAGGAAACAGCTTTTGGTTATATTCGGTACCGTATCTTTCATCAATCGTTGTTAGATCATATAAGCTTGAATTTATAAGATGCTTTTCTGTGCAATTTTCCAATTCCAAAGTCATCAAACTGATATTGCTTGAAGAATTCATTTGTATGTCACTCTCAAGATTACTTTGCACATTGGCGTTAAGTTCTATAAAAAGAAGAAGAGATTAGAAGCTTTACAGTTTGTTTTATTTCTAGTAAATTAAAAGAAATTTAGAAAATTTTGCTTTTTAAAAAATTAATATTAATATAAAATAATAAGCTCCTTCATCATGTCAATGAAAATAATTAAATAAGATAAAACATTCTACACATTACGGGAAGATGATTCTAGTCAGGTTAATTCCCGATGGTAAAAACTCGCTATTATTAAAGAATTTAAGGAAGTTAACTTTTAATCCTTGAAATTATGTTTAATATTTTAAAAATATATGCCATTACATCAAACATTTAGATCCGAATTTTTATTGATAAAATTACTCAGGCAACCATGCTTTAATTTGATCCAAACAA